AAATATAATTCTAGAGCTTCTTCAGTATTTTCGTTATTCTGTATATCATATTTTTCATAATTTTCATACGCTGCCATTATTCAGAGAAATTGATCAATATCAATTAAATAAAAATACCAAAAGAACGAAAATAAACTGCTTTATAAACCAAAAGTCGATCCCAAAACCGATGAGACAAATATTTGACAATTATGTGTGTTTCTTGTCATAAACAATATCCATAGCCTACTTTTAAATTATGCATTTAATTTTAGAAAATCATTAATTTGCATGTTTTTGAGAAAAAGTGTATACTATTATATATTTTTAATAAGATAAAAAATACAAATTTTATAGTCTATAAATACATTTAAAAAAAAAACATAAGTTTGCTTTATAACTCAAAAATAGTAAATACGAGGGGGTCCCAAAATACAACATTTTCAAAAATGTCCTCTATCTTAAAAAATAACGGAAATACCCTGTAATAGTACCCAAAATAATACTGAAATAAAGCATCCCTTGATTGACAACAATTTATCAAAATAAACTGTATTAACTAATAATGATGATTAACTAACATGTAGACATTTTTAAATTAATTCTGTCCTAAGGAAATGACATTTTACGATAATTTATTCTAAAACTTCATAAGTTCGCATTTGCATTACCATTCGGATCATTTTCACATGTATACCGCTCTCATGTAGAGATATACTATGTACCGGGTGTTTAAATAAGAAAGGACGCCGGCTATATCTAAAAAACCGTTTATACTACACATCTGATTGTGTTTTAATAACGTTTATCATTGTCCATAAGCATTACGGATTCAAATGTCGAACTATGCAACTGAAAAATAATTTACTACTGAACACGAGTGAAAAAAAAAAATATTATTTAACTTCCAAAAAGTAAATGAATTAAATTTATTTTCTACAAATAACTATTGTCCCACAGCCATTGTGCAACCTCCTGCATTAATAGACCTATGTTAGCTTGTCAGCCAGCCTATAGATCCAATATAGTTGATGTCGCCGATAGGTAGAGAACTTTCTGTCCCAACATAACAGGAGCCATGAAAACTACATCAATAAGAGCTGTGAAAGTCATTCTTAGTCTCACTATCCTTAATATTTACATCAGAGAGGCTGCTTTGAGGACAATGACATAACTACGCACGGTTGGAATAGATCCAGCGAAGTGAGATCTCGCTTTGGCGGGAAGAGCACGAAACGCTTACATTATCTTAATTAAACATGGACTCCATATCAACGAGATATATCTTTTATAAGCTCTCCAAAGTTGTAACGAAAAGTATAGAAGAGCTGGAAGTGGCAAGTACGATTTATATTTACACCGACGGTTCTTAAGGCGGGTACAGATCTAAGCATGTACGCGTATGAGGCAAGCCGAGGACACATGAGCATGCAGATGTGGACGGGCTTCCGAGGCGCGGCAAATTGCCTCGTTGTGTGCGCCGTACGGCCTCGCCCCGATATGTTTGTTGCCGGTACATCAAAGGAAGGCAATGCACAGTACGCGATCAGTCTCGACGAGGTATTTGTACCATACAGCACCGTACAGATTATAACGAGTTTTTAGGATTTATTTTGAATAGAGTGAAACCAAGAAAACGTTTTGCTTCTCCTGGATTTAAATAATCAGCGTGATATCTTAACAGAGCAAAACGCCAGTTCTATTACAACATTATAAAATAAGAATATTCTTATTAGTAAATGGGCCATCGATTCTTTTTTCTTTAAAGTGTCGAATAAAATAATAAAACACGCATTCAGTTCCGCAACGTCATCCTCATCCTTCACTTTTGTTTTAATTTTACGAATGTTCTGGGTATACGTTTGCATGCTCGCGAATTTACTGGATCAGTGTATACAAAATGAGCTTACAGCAACAGTACCAGTGTAGTTCAAACTTAATTCACGGGAATTCTGATACCAGCAAAAAATTACCTGTAAATATATCATCTATACAGATAGCAGACACAAGCATTATTTCTTACCCTGTACAAACCACTAATTTGTTTAGGGTTAGTACTACAATCTTGGGCGAAGTATCCATCAACAGTGCAATAACCTTAAGATTCACTAGCCAAGGAAATAACTAACTAAATAATTTTTTGGACGTGGTTCTTCCATTTGACTAGCAACATTAGTCGTAGAAACCCCAAATAAAAGACATTCACTTTGAAATTCAAGGCAAGGGTGATGAAACAAGAAACAGCAGATTTGCTATAGAGCTCTAAAGTTACTGTGACAATACTACATTTTGACTAGTCATTGTCAAATATGGAAAGACCTCTATACCATGGGGCTTTCAGACTGGCAGGCTGTGGGTAACCTGCATTGGGCGTGAACAAGAAGATGGGACTATCGAGAATGTTCCATACAATTGCCCGATGTTCTCATCTATTTAGGTAACTTGTGCTAGGGGATTACTGACTAACACCGGCCAATATAAAGGTTCGTATAGATATTCGTCAGATTTGTACGGCGTCGTATATCTATCGTGCCATAAAAAGCAACGGGCCTACCACGGGCCTGTTTGCTTTCCATTGCGCGGTAGACGTACGACACTGTACAAATCTGACGAACTTAGGTCCGTTTTTGGCCCGGGTTCGCCCCAGATCCGTGTTAACAATGGGTCTACATTCGTCAAATTTGTACAGTGTCGTATATCTACCGCGCGATGGAAAGCAACGGGCCTACTATGGGCTGGGCCAAATAGGATCAAAGTAGGCTCGTTTGCTTTCCATCGCGCCGTAGACGTACGACACCGTACAAATTTGATGAACCTGGGTCCGTTGTTCGCCGAGGCCCGGTCCGGGCTTGGTCCGTTAATATTGATATGCACCAGAAAGCTCTCTACCTATCGGTGACGTCAACTACATTGGATCTATAGGCTGGCTGACAAGCTAACACAGGCCTATTAATGCAGGAGGTTGCACAATCGCTGTGGGGCAACCCAACCTTCCTATCTTACAGGTACAGGTGCAGATACAAAACTCTGCTGAAAGGTAAATATATCGTCCCAAAATTAGGTTTTATTTACATATATCTAAATGCGCATGCGCATCGGATCATTAATAAATTGGACTTTCATTCAAAAAGACGAATCTGGATCAGAATCCTTCTTTGCCGATACTTTTGTGTAAACAGATTATATTTGGCACTATATATCGCGATAAATTGATTTCAAAAAAAGGTAACTGAACAGTATTCTAAAACTGATACTTTAAAATCAAGAGCCTATATTATTGACTATAGAATTATGCATTCTACCATCTAACAATGGATGCAAAAAGAGTATCAGGAACAGGAATAACTATCCAGAATTGATATAAGCCAAAGATTTCATTAAGGAACCGTCGGCTAAGCTTACGAAATACCTACTGGACCAAAAACAACAAACAGTTAGGATAAGTGTTTTTACCAGATACCGTCGCCTAAGTAGCACATGAGTGTTATCAATCCAGCAGAAGAAGAAACATTGTGCAGGTTCTGTGAATAAAAAGGGGAAACATCAATCCACATCCTGTGCGAGTGCGAAGGCCTGGCTAAATTGAGGTTTCTAACACTAGGTGAAGAAAAGCCGGACGCACGTAACTACATGTGGGAACCACTGTCGATGCTAGGAAGTCTAATAAAAAAAGACCAAGTTAGACGACATACTCTAAATAATGGAGTCCTGCAATACATCTGAAAAGATAGCGATGGACAAGGACAAATAATGTCCAACTCCTTCTAAATCTACTTAATCAGTAAAATACAAAACTTTGAGTGTAACTTTTTAATAAATAAAATCTAAGGATTCAAAGGGCTTTTTATATTAGTCTCACTCCCTATGCAGCATATGCTCAGTCGGCCATAAAATGCAACTTGTTTATTATAGTTTTATTATATATTTATTACATAAATAGTTATAATTTAATGAATATCACAACGGATTCTTAAGTAATGCCCCACTCTAATATCGCGATCATTTATATCGGACGACTTCCTAGATTCTTCTTCAAAAGTACTCGCGGTAAGTAGCACTTGCATATGTATGAAAGGCGTACCACACAAGGAAGCTGAAGTGGAAATATTTATTCAGCTACTGACTACTTATATTACTATTAAAATATATGCGTTCGCTTTGTATGTAGGTACATACATCTTAGCTAGTAGCAGGAAAACTAATATCCCGATTTAAATTAGAAACGTTTCATATTTCCTGATCCTTTTTTCAATTACTATTTTTATTTAATGTCTTAAAGAAGCACAGCTTATAAACGGTAATATGATTAATACCCTTTTTCAATAAAGGTGTCAATGACAGTAAATTACATTTAATGAAATTATTTGTGTTTCAAAACATTATATTCTAGATTTACGGTTGAAATTTTCAATTAGTATTTTTAAGCAATTTTTACCATAATTTTTTCTCAGATAAATAATTCTATTTATAATAGATTTTTATAATTAAAAAATGGTATTCCCCTCATTCTGACACAAATTGAGTAGCCTTGCTTAGTTTTCAGAAGTATAGTTAATAGTAGTAAAAGACGTTAACCAAACATTATTCACGTTTTAAAAAAAAAATGATATTCCAGCATTTATATCGTAGCTATATTATAAAAACTCTTTATTATATATTTAATGAAGGGGTTAGGTGGAAGAATAGCCTCAGGCTAAATCTCGCCCCGCAATGTACTCATGTATTTATTTATTATAGTACAAATAAAGACGTTTTATTATTATTATTATTATTATTATTATTATTATTATTATTATTATTATTATTATTATTATTATTATTATTATTATTATTATTATTATTATTATTATTATTATTATTATTATTATTATTATTATTATTATTATTATTATTATTATTATTATTATTATTATTATTATTATTATTATTATTATTATTATTATTATTATTATTATTATTATTATTATATCGACGATGTTCAAATTCTTCTTGGAAATTAGTCAGAATACATCATTAATTTTATGCTCATATTAGAGATATGCAACGGGTATGTCAGATACATAAAGAGAGCATTTGGTAATAGAGTTTTTGTTGTTTTCGATGTATACGACCAAATTACCACTAAATCGACAAAAAGAAACCGGCGATGTATGCATAAAAATTCCGCCACCGTACGCATGGCTCCAGATTCCTGGACGGTCATGACGTTGCCCGCAATTGTAACTCAGGACAAGTTTCTCGGGGATAACAAAAATAAGTCCCAGCTCATTAAATTTCTTCAGGAGGAATTGAAACGGGCTAATATAATGTCTCAGATGAGTATAGCTGCTGATGCGGATGTTGAAATTGTGCTCAAGGCCATTGAAACTGCTTCTGGAAGCCGCAACAATAAAGTGGTTATTGTTTCGGAAGACACTGACGTCTTAACAATGCTTGCTGCTCGGACTCCACCGAATCTAGAAGTGTTCTTGCTAAAACCACCGTCCGCTAGAGTACCTGATGTTGTGTATTCTTTCGAGAGCTTAGTATCCAGAAGCGCGTGCATCAGGTTTCATATATTATTTCGACATGCTTTCACGGGATACGACACAACCTCAGCATTTTTCTATCGAGGGAAAGTAAAATTCTGCGATTTGTTTGAGAAATCCGATGATTTACATGGGTTTGCAGTAATTTCTGCAAACTCATGTATCCATGGATAATTTAATAGATCATGGGCTTCGTCTAGCTTTAGCTCTTTACGAAGTACCTAAAGGTGTGCGCACGAGCGATAAACCTGCGATTGAGCTCGTCCAAAGCTATCGAGCAAAAATGTATGCTGAAGCCGCCAATTCTAAAAAAGTCGATCTTGCACGCATAATCCCGACTGCCAATGCGTTAACCGAGTATATCAAGCAGGCAAATACAGGCTTGGTACAGTTCACAAGGTCAAGACGAGACCTTAGATCCGTTGGAGTGTGGGTGGGAATTGGTGGATGGAGAGCTCAGTCCTGTCACCATGACCCAGGAAGCTGTCCCGAGGAAATTTTAAGCAAAATTTCTTGTTCTTGTGAAACCGACTGTGGCACGAGGTGCGGGTGCCGCCGAAGTGGGTTGGAGTGTTCACTTGCATGCAAGCATTGTGATGGCAATTGCTCAAACCAAAAAGGGAATTCTAACGAGGTTGAGAATAGTGACGAGGAAGAAGATGAAGAAGGGGAAGAAGAAGAAGAATTTAAACAAGATGTTTAGTATTTAAGTTAAAAATATAGGTTTATAATGAATAATTTAACATTAATAAAAACTCCTATTTGTTATTTGAATAAAGTATTATTTCATAATTTGTGATTTTTCACTTTCTCCTTTACCATTTCCCACAGAGCAACCCTCGAGCGCCCCCGGGGAAGTCTAATGCCAGAATTTAATTCGGCATCCCTGAAAACCCCCCAGTACCGATTTAGGAGTGATTTTCATTGACGCTGCCATTTCCTCCCCAATCACCTCCAGACAACCCCACAGAGCCACCCCCTAGCACCCCCGGGGAAATCTAATGCTATAATTGAATTCGGCATCCCGAAAACCCCCCGAGTAACGAGTTTGGAGCGATTTTCATGCACGCTGCCCTTTCTCCCCCAATTTACCTTCAGCGCACCCCCACAGAGCCACCTCCGTGCACCTCCTGGTAATTCTAATGCTCCGAAAACCCCCTAGTAACGATTTCCGAGCGATTTTTTCGAGTTTCCAGTCGTTCCTATAATGGTGCAAGTAATGATGCAATTGGAAAATGCATTTTCCGGCCCAGAAGACATTTTTCAAAATATGACTAAACCAGACGATATAGACTTTTTTCCTGGGACCTTCCTGAACACAATGCAGAAAACCGCATCTCAATATCTGCTGTCCCTAAAAATTTCCGCTATTTTTTCTAACTTCCCTTGACTATAATTCTTATCCATAGGTAGGATTCCCCACTCGACCATTTACTGTTATAAATATAATAAACAGTGCTGTTTTTGAAATGGCGCTGGGAAACAGTAACACAGCCTACACAGAACACGAAGATAATAACCTGAGTAGTTTATGCCGATGACACTAAAATAAAAAAAAATAGTAGGAAGATATATTTTACAGCAATTATTCGCGTTTCAAAAATATGATATTCCGCTTGAAATTTTACTTTATACAATAATAACACTACAATATTTAAACATTTTTAATTTACAAACGCTCTCCTGAATTGTACACAGTTTTTCTGATGCCTTTATATCGTTATTAATATACCTAGTTTTTAGCTAGATATATAGATGATATTCCTATTCGTTGAAAATCAGTCAACATCTATTTAGAAATTATGCCCATTCCTACTAATTTAATTCTCATAACTAAAAGGTAAACATAAACATTCTATTTTTAAGTTACATTAACCCACCTGCCAGCAACTATATTTCACCTTATCGCCATTAATATCGATCAGTGTCAAAATCAACATCATCTATTGTTTGTTGGTAAAACTGATAACCCGAACCCAAGAAAAATTATTGTAACTACATAAATTTCCCTTAGAAACATAAATATTTGCTAGAGGTCATTTGTAACTTAACTTTGATCTGGTTTATTTTATTTTCTAAAAATACAATTTTTAGTAAAGTAGATAAACATTACTTGTCAAACAAACTTCAGTTGCCACATTAGTGGAGATGAGAATTGATATAACGATTTGGGTGTGCACCTGGAAAACATTATCTATACAACGAGTATCAAAATTAAAAGGATGTTGATATACAAAAAACATGGCAAAAATGATACGGCTGATAGAAATCTGAAAATAAATAGGGTTTACTTAGGCCTTTTATTTTTGTGTAACTGAGCGTTGAAGTAAAAAAAAAAAGAATAAACATTTTGGGATACTGCTTCTATTTGAATTTTTGATGTATTTTACGTATATACCATATTATTGTTTCACTTTTTTTGTTCGTACATAAATAATAAGGTTTACGTTAGGTAATGGCAGGGAGGTGAGAAAGGATGGGAGATGACATAACATAACTAACAATACTTTCACCATATTGGTATGAAATTTTGACTTTTGTATGTAAATTTTGTTTTTGATTATGATCCAGTAATTTCTCTAAAATACTCTAATACACTAACTTAATAATTAAAATAATGGTGCGCTGTGTAATACTAAGTTGTTTCAAAATGTGAACTGAGTTACACATGAGCCAAAGTAGATCTATCTGGGTCGCAGTGGAAGGCGATGAGATGATTCCACTTATTATCAACCTAATACCAAGTTGTTCCGGTATATCTGCTATAGATGCGAATATAGATATCTTTAAAAATAACATATTACCAATTAGGGTGAAAACGGTAGTAGACTAACTCCAAACCAAATCAAAAGATCGTTAGTGTACACGCATTTATAACACTTGTCATTCAATGTTCGATTGAGAGTGCAATACGTTTACCAACGTATCAAGCAAAATGAAGATGATTATATTTGGACGTAATAGATATAAAGACAGTGCCTTGGTTTAACTACGCTCTTTCGATGGTGTAAACTTTTTGAGATTAAATCTCCTGTTTACTCATCGGCGAAAGCCGGTTTTTCTATGGATTGTAACTTTGCATCTTGAATAGAATCTTTTGTTCATGAAATCAAAGGCTGATGAACGGTACATTGGTTTGGTCACTTATTTAAAGACAAGACGTTTACGCAATTATAAACGTATTATATAAAGATTTACTTGCTTGTTAGTGTAGAGAGAAAGAGAGAGAGAGAGAGAGAGAAAATATGTAATAGAATGCTATGAAGTTGTGCTATACGTAACATTTGTCATGTTTGGAGAGAATATATTAGAGCGAGATGAAGTTGTTATTCGCACGATGGAAGTGATGCTTTACTTGAATGCGTGCGTTTGATCGCAGGTGAATTGAACACAGGCGTGGTCTAGAAAATCCTGTACGTAATATATAAGAATATATGAAATTTAAGAATATATAAAATTTAAGAATATATGATATTTAAAAATATATGAAATTTAAGAATATATGAAATTTAAGAATATATGAAATTTCAGAATAGATGAAATTTAAGAATTTATGAAATGGAATATATTATGAAATATAAAGAGATGCAAGGAGGGGATATTGCAGTCCGCCGTGGGTGATGTATGTGAATATATTACTCTAGTTCTCTTGGAGTCAGAATTGGAAACGTACTGTACAGCACTGTAAGAAGTTGGAAGGCGGCCTTATAACCAAGACTGGGAGTAAAGGTTAAGTGACGATATCACCCTGCAATTGTTTTTACTACTGGCTCTTTCTATATACGAATTTGGCTACCCTCTAAATTTAATGAGTTATTATACTCTGTACAAAATTTGAATTTGAAATTAATTCTTATTACATAAACATGGTTAACGTCAAATGATTCTGATTCCATGTATGATGTTTTGAATTACTCTCTAAACTGATGGGATAGAAGAGACCATCGCGGGAGGTGTCTGTATTTATTTATCATCAGATGTTATACATTTTTCTGTTACTTCTCTTGACATCAATGTCCTCAATATGGAATTATTAGTGTCAAAACTTTATTTTTCTTTACTCTTCATTTAGTCTATATTTATCGTCACGGAGTTCTCAACTAGCTGAAGACACAGTCCTTATTGAAAAACTTGAATATATATCTTCATTAGAAAATGTTATTATTTTATTGGTAATTTCAATTTCCGAGGTATTTTATGGCCAGCTCCAAGTGATGTGTTAAATTCTAAAAATCAATTTTTGATATTTGTTCTAAAATCTATTCTACAACTCATAACTGAGCCAGCACGATTCAGAGTCAACAATATTCCTTCTACGCTAGATTTTTTATTTTAAATGATAAAAAATTATTAACAGAATCTACTATTCAATCTCCGATAGGCATATTGGCTCATGCAATCATCACAAGTCGTATATAGTTCACCATATAGAACCATTCTCACAAAGATCATACTTACATCATATTAAATCATCGATTTTTATAACTGAAATCGTTATCTATCTTCTATCGACTGGATAGAGACACTGGGTGCCTTGGGAAATGCTGTGGAAGTATGGAATAAATTCACAACCGCGTGTAGCCAAGGAAAACCTAAATCTAATTAGACACATAAATTCACAACCGTGATTGCTACTCAAGTCCCTGTCGAAATAATTTCGAAACGGCTGAACTTCCGGCTAATACCTTTACAAAACTTTTCTTCAATGAACCACTCCAGGATCAATTACCAGATATCTTATCCCTTCTTACTTAGACCAGCTCAACTTTACTCCTGAAATTGTCAAACGTCACCTTCTGAAATTAAAAAAAAACTATTCTTCGGGTCTAGATCAATATCTTCTCTATTAAAAAAAATTGCTCCCTTTATCTATTATAATGTCTTTGTTTTTTAATACACACACTACCCCCTATCTGGAAAACAGCTTCTGTAATATCCATTTTTTAAAATATGTAATGTCCGGAACTAGTGCGGGATAAAAATACTCTTGAAAATGTACAGCGTCGATCAACCAGACTTTTCGGGCGTGCGAGTCCTAATTACATAGAGAAACTACATATGGCTAAACTACAGCGTTTGAAAATGGTCGTCTGCGGGGTGATATGATAATTTGTTTTCTTATTTAAAAATATAATTTTGGAAACTTAAAATATATCTACAATGAAGTCGACTAC